ATAAACGAATCGTATATATGTAAGTAAATGCCTTACCTTACCAATCAGGCTAAGGCCTTGTTGTCCTCTGCTGTCCGAAGAAGTCGTCTCCACTCTACTCGATCCATGGCCACAGTTCGCCAGCCTCGTAGTCTGCGAAGGGTCCGCAGGTCACCTTCTACTTGGTCGATCCACCTTGCCCGCTGCGCGCCTCTTCTTCTTGTTCCTGTTGGGTCGCTTTCTAGAACCATTTTCACTGGGTCGTCGTGCGGCATTCTTACGACGTGCCCAGCCCACCGTAGTCGCCCAATTTTTGCAATGTGGACGATGGATGGTTCTCCCAGCAGCTGGTGCAATTCGTGGTTCATTCGCCTCCTCCATGTTCCGTCATCCATCTGCACTCCACCGTAGATGGTACGCAACACCTTCCGTTCGAAAACACCAAGGGCGCGTTGGTCCTCCACGAGCATAGTCCAGGTCTCGTGGCCGTAAAGGACCACCGGTCTAATCAGCGTCTTGTAGACAGTCAACTTCGTGCGGCGGCGAATTTTATTCGACCGGAGCGTCCTCCGGAGTCCAAAGTAGGCACGATTCCCTGCCATAATGCGTCTTTGAATTTCTCTGCTGGTATCATTTTCGGCGGTCACCAGTGAGCCCAAATACACGAACTCATCGACCACCTCGATTTCGTCACCGTCAATCTGAACTCGGGGTGGGAGGCTAACATTGTCTTCCCTAGAACCTCTTGCTTTCATATATTTTGTCTTTGATGCGTTGATGGCAAGTCCAATCCGTCTAGCTTCAGCCTTCAGTGTGATGTACGTTTCCGCCATCATCTCAAAGTTCCGTGCCATAATGTCAATGTCATCGGCGAAACCAAGGAGCTGGATGGACTTCCTGAATATCGTGCCACTCGTGTCTATCCCAGCTCTTCTGATCACACCTTCTAACGCGATGTTGAACAGCAGACACGAAAGTCCATCACCCTGCCGTAACCCCCTTCGAGATTCAAAGGGACTCGAGAGTGTCCCCGATACTCGAACAACGCACGTCACTCGATCCATCGTCGCCTTGACCAATCGCGTCAGTTTATCCGGAAATCCGTACTCGTGCATAATCTGCCATAGCTGATCTCGATCGATTGTGTCGTATGCGGATTTGAAATCGATGAACAAATGATGTGTGGGCACGTTGTATTCGCGGCATTTCTGCAGAACCTGCCGAATCGCGAAAATTTGGTCCGTGGTAGCGCGGGCACCCATGAATCCCGCCTGGTATTGCCCCACGAACTCTCTTGCATATGGTGACAGACGGCGGCATAGAATTTGGGAGAGTACCTTGTAGGCGGCGCTCAGCAGTGTGATCGCGCGGTAGTTGCAGCAATCCAACTTGTCGCCCTTTTTGTAGATTGGGCATACGACACCTTCCATCCACTCCTCCGGTAATATCTCCTCCTCCCAAATCTTGGCAATTACCCAGTGCAGCGCTCTAGCCAGTGCTTCACCACCGTATTTCAATAGCTCACTTGGTAGTTGATCTACACCAGTTGCTTTGTTGTTCTTCAGCCGACCGATCTCCTCCTCAACTTCTTGAAGATCAGGGGCCGGTAGCCTGTCGTCTTCTGCGCGTGCTCCAAGGTCTGTTGCCGTGCCACCTTCGTTTTCTGCTGCTTCACCGTTGAGGTGCTCGTCATAGTACTGCTTCCACCTCTCAATCACCTCACACTCGTTCGTGAGAAGGTTACCGTCCAAGTCCTTGCACATATCGGCTTGCGGCACGTAGCCTTTGCGCGAACTATTTAGCTTCTCGTAGAACTTCCGTGTGTCGTTTACGCGGTACAGATTTTCCATCGCCTCGCGATCTCGATCTTCCTGCTGACGCTTCTTCCTTCGGAAAACCGAGTTTTGTCTGTTCAGCGCTTGTCTGTATCGCTCCACATTCAATCTCGTGCGGTGTTGTAGCATTCTCGCCCGTGCTGCATTCTTCTCCTCTACTAACAGTTTGCATTCGCCGTCAAACCAGTCATTTCTTCGGTCCGGGATTGCAGTACCTAGTGCCGCTACAGCAGTACTACCTATGGCTGAACGGATGTCCCTCCAGCCATCTTCAAGAGAAGCTGCGCCAAGCTGCTCTTCCGTGGGTAGTGCAACTTCCAGCTGCTGCGCGTAGTCCTGGGCAACTCCGGTGTCCCGTAGTTGCTCAATGTTGGGTCGTGGCGTTCGACTTCGACGTGTGTTATGCACCGTCGAGAGTTTTGAGCGCATGCATACTGCAACTAGGTAGTGGTCCGAATCTATGTTCGCACTGCGGTACGTGCGGACGTTGATAATGTCGGAGAAGAATTTCCCGTCGATTAGAACGTGATCGATTTGGTTTTCTGTGTGTTGGTCAGGTGATCTCCAGGTGGCTTTGTGGATATCCTTGCGGGGGAAAAAGGTACTTCGAACTACCATACCCCGGGAGGCTGCAAAGTTCACGCATCGTTGGCCGTTGTCGTTCGATACGGCATGCAGGCTGTTTGGCCCGATTGCCGGTCTATACATTGCCTCCCGTCCTACCTGAGCGTTCATGTCACCGATGACGATTTTGACGTCCCGTTGCGAACAGCCGTCGTACACCTGCTCCAGCTGCGCATAGAACGCTTCTTTCTCGTCGTCGGGTCTCCCTTCGTGTGGGCAGTGCACGTTGATGATGCTGTAGTTGAAGAAACGGCCCTTAATCCTCAACTTGCACATCCTCGCGTTGATCGGCTGCCAACCAATCACGCGTTGGCGCATCTTACCCAGCACTACAAAGCCGGTTCCCAGCTCGTTGGTGGTGCCACAGCTCTGGTAGAAAGTAGCCGCTCGATGCCCGCTTTTCCATACCTTTTGTCCCGTCCAGCCAAGTTCCTGCAGTGCTACGACTTCGAAGTTGCGTGGTTGAAGTTCGTCATAGATTAACCTATCGCAACCCGGGAAGCCGAGCGATTTGCAGTTCCATGTTCCGAGTTTCCAATCGTAGTCCTTATTTCGTCGCGTAGGTCTGTGCCGATTGTTCCGATCCGTATTTCTTTCTTCGGTATTTGCAACTTTGTTTTTTTTCCAGGGCGGCTTGTTGGGCCTGCCCCAACCCCCTGTCTCGCCGGGGGACCATCGTGCACAGCTCTGTTTAGAGTCCCACGCTGGCACTAGGACGGTGATCAGCCGCTCCTAACATGGAGAACAGACGCCGTTTTGAGCCGCACCTCCATGGTGAGCAGACGCTCAGGTTTGGTGAAGCATTTCCTCTATCACCGTACTATGGTTACCGCGCCAGTGTTCGCGTCGCACCTCTTCACTTTGCTATTGCCGGACTGGCAACATTGCCCAGGCTACGCCAACCAGCTGTGTCCATGTTTCAGCTGGTAGTCTTTTGTTATCATATGACTCGAGGAGGCGTGCAGTAGGAACTTGTGAGGACCAGGGCTAGGTAAGTAAATGCCATGTATACCGGATATTATAGGTTATCAACCAAGACTCGAATAATGTCTGTAGTATCGAAATATGTCCAAACAGATTCAAAGTGTCTATATGGATTGTACCCGGTCTATTGCTACGTATACAAGATGTTATAGGTTGAAATCATTCTGGAGATCCGATTATTTTTCTACTACATCACCCAAGACTAATTCAATATATGTAGTATCGAAATATGCCCAAACAAATTTGCAGTGTCTATGTGGATCATGCCAATCTATTTGCGTGTATGCCAAATGCTCTAGGATTTCCAAATCGATATTTCGATACTACAGATATTATCCCAGTCTTTGGAGATCTAGTAAAACAAATCATCTGAACTGCAGGACGATTTGGAGAACCTAGATCATCTGGTAAACGTGGAAATAATTAAACATTATCCATATAGACATTATGAATCTGTTAGGACATATTTCGATACTACAGACTTTATCCCAGTGATGGTTGATCATAAATCATCTGAACTCCACAACGATTTGGAGAACTTTAAACATCTGGTATACATGACAATAGCTCATGCATGATCCACATATATACTATGCATCTGTCTGGAAATATTTCGATACTAAAGATATTGTCCCAATCTCAGTTGATGTAGTAGATCAAATTATTTTAACTCCAACTTATTTTAACATCTGGATTACTCGGAAATAGATCATGCATGATCCACATAGACACTTTGAATCTGATTGGACATTTTTCGATACTACAGACATTATTGCAGTCTTGGTTGATCTAGTAGAACAAATCTACTGATGTTCTGGACGATTTGGAAAACTTATAATTTACGGTATACATAGTAATAAGTCGTGCATGATCCACAGAGTCACATATATACGATTCGGTTATGATTTAACAACGAAAAGTGCTAGGTTCATATTATACTATACATAAATAACTGAAGATGATACAATGTTATTTAAAAACAAATTTCAAAGTTTTCAAACGATACTCCTTTAGCTCAGTCGGTAAAGGCGCACCTACAAAGCAAGTCCATGCTAGAGGCGATTGAGTTCGATTCTCGTCCGGTCTATTAATTTTTCGGGTTGGAAAATTTCTCTACTTTCTTGGACATAGGATGGTACAGGCATAGAAAGCTCTCAATTAAAATGTGAAAGTACTTCAAAGAACACTAAGTTGAGAGCAGGCAAAAATCTAATATGCTATAAGCAATAAGCTTGAAATGCCATGTAGTAGTATACAAATGCTATTTTTAGGTAATGAAAACAGTTTTTTTTTTGTCGCGGATTAGTATTTGAAGTCGCAGATTTCTTTTGAGAAATCGCGGATTTCGCGGATCAAATTTAGAAAATCTTGTAACAGCCAGCAATCCTAAAAACTAGAAAAGCTGGGGGTTTTGCGCTGCTCATATCGATTGCGTAAGGCAACGTTCGTTTGATAATTATCCATCCTGCCAGGATTTTCTATGACGGCATTAAACACAAGTGTTTTATGTGTCATTTTGAAAAGGCTTTGTACAGAGCAGTTAGTTATTTCAATTGATTTGTTATTTTTCCCCCCCAGATGATCTCCCGGCACAATGTCGCTACCTGCCCGATCAGGACAAGATCCTATTCTGGAACGGTCGGAACGTGTCGATGCGCGGTGACTACAATGGCGTCCTGCTACTGGACACTATCCTCCAGGCACCGATCACACAGGCCGACGACAACATCCGAATAGAGCTGCTCCTGTCGGAAGCGGTCCTGTTTCTGCAGTGTCTGCAGAACCTAGAGCAGCATGGGCTGGAAAACACGGCCGACGTAACCAACGAACTGACGCTGAAGATTGGCGAAGCCCAACAGCATGCTAAGCGGGGGATCAAAGCGCAGAAGGTAATGAAAGTGTGGGCTCACTCACAGTAGGTGTCTAATTATTTACTTTTTGTTGTTGTTTTCAGTGGGAAACGATCTGTTTGGAGCTGTCCCATTCCTCGCTCCGGATGGTGGCTGGTGGAATGGTGATGCAGCTGAAGCGGCTCGATCGCCACATCCCTGCGCTGGCGATTGCCTCCGCCATCAACGAGCGCCTAACGGATCTGCTGGAGGGTGCCCGTGTCACGGAACCATCCGCTCTGAATCGGTTCTACATGTTCTCGGAGGCTACCCGGCGGCAGACGTTCGAGGGTTGGCCTCACATGGATTACAAGTGGGTCCTACCGGATCAGATGGCCCAGGCTGGGTTCTATCACTATCCGGGAGACAATGGAAACGATGATCGAGCGATGTGTTTTACGTGCAACGTGTGCTTGGTTTGTTGGGAGAAAACCGATGAACCGTGGAGCGAGCATGAACGGCATTCCCCGGAGTGTCCGTTTGTGAAAGGGGAGTTCACCCAGAATGTTCCTCTGTCGGTAACGTACGCTACAAGTCCGGCAGTTTCGACGGGTGGATTCTCCATCATATCGGCTGGCGATCGAGGAAATGTGTTCTGCACGGGGAATCCCCAGGCGGATGTGACCGTGTGGAATGTTGAACGACAGCTTACCAAGGTTTACGATTTCAAAGTGAAACTGCACCCGGACATTCTAACGACGACGACCATCAGCTGTAATGCCGCCGTGAACGAAATCGAGCTGACAGCTCTTTCCACTTACTACGTCAAGCATGCCGGTATGGTCAGCAAGCCGAAAGTGGCCTCTCTCTCGCTGAAGCCAAAAATGCTGGGAACGAAAATTGTTTGCGGCATTCGAGTGAACAGTACGGAACCGGACACGGACAAGGAAGAATCCGAAACCACTTTGCTGCTGGTGGTCTACAACGTAGAAGAGACGATCGGTTGCGATGAGAGCAAACAGCTGAGTCAGTTGTCCAATTCGTCCAGCACGTCCGTCATTCCACCGGCGAAAAAATCCTCGCTCAGCACCATCGACGAGAAGTACGAAGATGACTTTATCAAATTCCTGTCGGGCAACACCGAGTCCCAACTGTTGGAATCGATCGATAAGCTAATTCATCTGGATACGCTGAAGAAAGACGAAGCATCGCTGAGTCAGCAGATCGGTGCCAAGTTGGATGATACGTTGAGGAAGCTGATCGAAGCATCCGGGTCGGCCTCGACGGGCTCCGTAGACAAGCTAATGTCGGATGATCAGACTACGTCGACGGTAAGTCTAAGTGATTTCAAGGGACCTATCTGCACACCCTTTCCGCCGCCACCATTCGGCATTAGCTCCAGTAGTAGCGGTGGTAGTTCATCAACTCAGCTGGTCTCTGTGAAATCGTCGCAACCGGACAGTGTATCCAGCATTAGCAGCATCGGCGGTAGCAGTATGAATTCGAACGTGACGACTGCCCTGTCCACCGGTGCTACCAGCGCAATGTCCACCAACTGTGACATCAACTGCATTCCACTGCAGTATATCGAAATTCCATCGATGTACGCCGAATCGCATGACAGCTACCGCATCGGAGAGGTGATTCCTTCGAGTGATAACAAGTACCTGCTGGTGGTGTTGCGGTTGAAGCAGAAGGAACGAAAGGAACAGATGCAACCACCGCAGCAGCAGCAGCAGCAAGAAGAACAAGCGGAAGTGATTGATGAAATCGTAAAGGAAGTGGTCGACAAAGAAGAACAAGAACAGGAAGAGGAAATTCCGGAGGAGATTGAAGAAGAGGATGAGTGGAAAACAATCTTGTATTTGTACTATTTGAATGAAGAAGGTTTGGTGAAGACGGATGATCCTTTGGTAAAGTGGTTGACGGACGAAGAAACTCCAACGGAGATTGTGATGCTACCGAAGTGTGACAGTAGTGGCCGAAGCTTCGGCGGTCCTGAAACCGAAAATGGTATTTTTGTGATGACGTGTGAGGACGGTAAACTGCGAATTGTATCGCTGAAGACTTTGACCATAGTTTCGGAAGCTAGTGTAAAGGACGACCGGTTCGTATCGGCAACGTACTGCAAAAGTCTGGAACGTTTGTGCGGGTGTACGTCGAAGGGGTGTCTACATTTCTACTCGTTCTACGATTTGGATGCAGATTCCAGTGACGAACGGGATGATGATGTGACGTGTATGGTTGGTAGCGGTAGCAAGGTGACATCCGGCGCTGATCGTTCCCAATACGGAACGGATGGTGGACCTTCAAGTGCTGGTCCAAATCTTCTTAAATATGAAGCGACTCCATCAACATCGACTTCAACGACGGCCCAGTTGCCGCCATCCACCAACAACGGCCATGGTGAAAATCATCTGGCAGATATTCTATTGGCTTACAAGCCGGAACTGTCGATTCCGACCCTGAAGGTGCTGTATTCGTTGACCCTGTTCAATGAAATGCTGACACCTTATTCGGCCGAAGTTCCCGGCTGTTGGAGTGAACTGGAACAGGCGCAGAAGCAGCGACGACATCCGCAGCATCTACGACCTGGCGACGATACCCATCTGACCAAGACCTGGAGGCTGCATAACGATGCGTAAGTATCTAGATTTTCCTAGTTCCGAGCGGGAGTTTATAAACGGCTGTTTCTCTTCTTCGCACATACACAGCACCACGTGGGACGAGCATCTGATCGAGCTGAACCTGCCGAAGTGTACCTCGTTGGGTCACATCGATTTCAAGTTTTCCCTCTATCAACCGTGCACGAACCCACCTGCCATTCAGGTCACGCTGCTGAAGCAAAAGTCCATAGGGCTGTGCTCTCGGCGCAAAACTCAATCCATCAACCGTGTTGACGAATCCATCAATTTCAACATCGGTTCCACCGATGGAAAAAGTAAGTCTTCGCCTCACGTAAAACGTCCTTGAAGTTACCTTACGCTCCCTTTCTTCAGATTTGATCGAGAATCCCGTACTGAGCGAAGAGTACCTCCAGGCGAGGAACGCGGAGATTCTGGTGGGACCAATCGAGCTAGCAGCCTGCATGGATCTTAGCGAGCAGGCCGGTTCTGTAACGCTGACTAGCCCAAAGTTGCTCAAGTCAAAGGGCCGCAACTATCTGCTCCACATCAAAACGATGACCGACCTGTCCAAGGACGGACAGGCCAAGACCAGGGGTAAGCTTGATTGTAAGATTCTGCATTTTCCTGTGTGCTGCTCTCACATCATCCTCTAGCGCGGAGTCGGTGCTTATTGACCTCCATCATCACAATCCTCCTTCATCCCCCTTTTTCCCCTCACGACATAACTGATCTTTATGTGTGTTCACCTATCGGTATTCACGCTTACCATGTCGATCGTTCCCTTTTGTCGCACTGGTCTCATCCCGCCCACCCCCACAAACTCCTAACCATCTGTACCGCCCAAACCGTATCAACTCCACCTAAGCTAATCGAACAACAATGGCTTTGCCTTTTTTGTGTCTTTCTTGATAAATCGCCGTCGTTATCTCCTATCTCTTCCGCCCGCGCCATTCTCCTTGCTGGCCGCATCGCTAGTTCCAGTGCGTAAGAAGGGCATAACCAGTATCCTGCTAACATCATTCGCAAATATTTCGCAACAAAATCACAACAACAACAACAACAACACCACTGCCACGAACCACGCGACCAACAACAACGCAACGGCCGGGGCCGGATCGACGGGCAAGGAGGGTGTCAGCTTCTTTCCCGACTCCGCCGCCACCGGTCCTAACAAGACGCGCAAAAATGACTTTTACATAGGTAACGAACAAGCAACCCACAACCCCTACAAACGAAACAATAGGTGGACCCGTCCCTCCGAATTGTTTTGCACTGATGACCGGTTTTCTTTTATGTTCCGAATGATGGCTAATCGATTTGCTTGGAAGACGCTTCCTTATATCTGTGTTTGTAGTAGTGCAAGGTGTTATTTTTCTTTGTTGATCATTTTACTAATTTTCCATGTTTTTCGGGCACGTTACTTGAATCCTAATTTCCGTTCCTAACTCTGTTATTCTTTTTGGGTGGTTGAAATGCGATTTGGAATCGTTACGTGGTTTTTCAGATTCTTGTTTTTAGTTCTAAAAAAAAGGGATGAAACTGCGAAAACTGTCTTGCTCATAAATTAGAATTAAGAGGACCGACCCAGTATAGTCAACTCTTGTGGAAGGCGGCATCTGCTACGAAGGAATATAAAACAAATGTTTCTTTTGTAAATCAGCTGTGTTACGTAGTGACAGTAGGATGCGCTATGAAATTCATTGAATACTCCAAATCTAGTGGACGTATATATTGTTGACCCATCTTTAAAGAACCTCTTTTTCTGACCAGAGCCGTACTCAGTATTTTTGTTTAGGTGGCAAACTCTCAGTTTTTGCCCCTCTTCCTGGCTCTTTCAGGGGGGCCCTAATCACATTCCATAAAGGTAGTCTTAAAGAGAAAGATATCACAACAAATTCTTACAGTTATCAGTTATTTCTCTGGCATAAAGCGGGACTTTTTGAGCCCTGGCATCCCATTTGGTGCATATAGAAAAAAAAAATCAGTGATAACGATGAGATGTCTTCACCGCTACTTTTAAAATTTTCAGGCGGAGGAAAATTCATGTTCATGTTCAGTATTTCAGATTTATATAACAGATTCTTTCTTGAAGTTCAGGAACCTTCTTAGAAGTCAAGAACCAAGTATGACCGTTCGAGTTCCAGTATCGACAGGCGTCGTGTGCGGAAATTATTTCGAGTGTTGAAAACCGTTTGGAAGAGAAAAAAAGATCTTACAGAACAGATAGAAGAGGAAAAGAAATCTCGAGGCAGCTGAAAAACTGAAGAAGTTGAGTGAAAAAACATAAATTATTAGCGAAAAAGTGGTTAAGCGAAAGGACGCCATTAAAAAGTGAGGTTATGGCAGGGGAAGAAAAACCACCGGATTCCGGTGGGAAAACAAACATAACAGATGCGAAACATGAAAAGCTAGAGTACACGATCAAGGACAGTGCCCCGTACCGCGTAATGTTCGTGGCGCGGGATGCTAGCAAAGACGCGAAGATCAACAGATACTCACTTGGATCCAAGCTTCGTGGAATGGAAACATTCAAGAAGCATGTAGTAGATATGAAGATGACCATCCGAAACAAGATACTGGTATTCCTGAACAGCTACCAGCGAGCCAACCAGTTCGTTGAAACGATTAACAAAGACGAAGGAACGTACAAGGCATTCATCCCGAAGCACTTAGTGTGTATATCGGGAGTAATAGTTGGGAAGCGACGTTCCTATTGTGGATGTTTACCGACTGACCCGTTTTGCAGGCGGCAATCGTGTTCCATCCACCAGAATCTCTATTACGTTCAGAGCAAGCCAGCTCCCGGAAATGGTGCGGCTTTTTTGCTGTGTGACGAAGGTTAAGCCATTTGATCAAAAAGTGATTTATTGCACCAACCGTCTGCGATTAAATCACAGAGGAAAGGATTGCAAAGGAGTAAGAAGATGCAGACGCTGTACCGAACGGTACGAAAATGAGGAAGAATTTGGAAATTGCCAGCGAAACATCAAATGCATTCATTGCAACGCGAATACACACACCACAGGAAGCGAAGCATGCACAGCGAAAAAGAAAGGATAATGAGCATGAGCATGATTGACCGCCCACGGTTGCTACTCTGTTATTGCCAGATCAGCTGTACTTGTACAGAGAACCAATAGACGATGCTTGGGATTGGCAATCATCCTCAATGTGTAAAAACTGGTGATCTCAAACTAGGCAATACAAGCGCCGGCCGCTCCCGAACGCAGGTCAAGAAAGGAATGGGTAGGAATGTGTTGACGTGACACTCGTTTTGATGGAAATTGAGAAATCCTCTGCACTTCCACGAGAAATCACTGGGATGTTGGATAAGAGGGTAGAGTTTGCAGCAGAGTTCGTTTTGGTAAACGATAAGCTGAATTGACGTCCCAAAGAACAACAGATCAAGTCGATAATGTCCAAAAAGAACTACACCTATGTGGAAGCAAGGGAAATGGTGGCAGCACCAACGGCAAACTTGATGGCAGCACTGCGCCATTCAGCATCGCGCGTTCATTCAGTCAGTGTAAAAGCAACTGAACAACCATTCATTGTCGTGCAAGCGGATGAATAAAAACCTCACTTGAGTTTGTTGTCTTGACCAGTAAAGACGTGTTTTATTTACTCTTCTACTTTACAGCTAAAAGGTTATGGGCCTGTGGAGTTAGCCATTTTGTTTTGTGAGAAAAGTTAACACGTTTCATCAAGTCGATAAAAAAAAAATAAAAGTGCGAGTTATTTTTATTGAATTTGTAGGAACATTTGATTCAATAAAATGGAGCGAACGGGAATCGCGAAGCTTACGAACGATAATTATGATTCGTGGAAATTGGAAGTCGAGTTTCCGTTAGTGAGAGAAGGACTTTGGAAGTACGTCTCGCCGGGAGTGAAGCCGGGAGCGGCTGCGGAAGGTGCAAATGCGACGGTGCTGGCTGCCTGGGACGAGGGAGACCAGAAGGCGCGCGCAACGATCGGTCTGCTGCTGTCAAGAAGTCAACACGGGCACTTTCGGAATACGAATTCCGCGAAGGCAGTGTGGGACAATTTGGAGCGGCAGCACCAGAAGAAGACGCTGACGACCAAAGTGCATTTGCTCAAACGGATCTGCGACATGAACTACCACGATGGTGACAACATCGAAGAGCACCTGATGGAGTTTGAGGATTTATTCGAGAAGCTGGCTAACGCTGGTACAAAGCTAGACGAGGATCTTCAGGTGGTTCTAGTGTTTCGAAGTTTGCCAAATTCGTTCGACGCTCTAACGACGACGTTGGAAAACCGGTCGGGCGACGATTTGACGCTGCAATTAGTGAAGGGGGAAATTATCAACGAAGTACATAAGCGGCGGGAATCGTCGGTAGTGGATCCGGTTGTTCTGAAGACGGACGATAAGAAGAAGAGTGTTGTATGCTTTTATTGTGAAAAGCCCGGACATATGAGGAGAGACTGCACGCTGTGGAAGCGGCAGAAGAAAGAAGGTGGTGCCAGCAGTTCCGAAAGGGGTGAAAACAAAGAGAAGAAGATTTCAAAGCAGCAAGCGAAGGCTAAAGTCGCGAAGTCCGAAGTGCAAGGATTCGCATTTCGTGCCAGTGAAAGTGCGGCCAAGGACTGGATTGTCGATTCTGGTGCGAGTTCGCACATGTGTGCAAATCGCAAGTTCTTTGTGTCGCTGAGTGAACCACGAGCAGATACGCCGAAATCGGTGACGGTTGCCGATGGCAAGCGAGCAGCGGTGAAAGGTATCGGATCGTGCATGATTTGTTGCTACGGTGAAGATGGTGACGAAAGGGAAATTTCGCTCAGTGAAGTGCTATTTGTTCCTCAACTCGATATGAATCTCGTGTCGGTTGGCAGGCTGTTGCAGAAAAGAGTACGAGTCATTTTCGACCAAAAGGGTTGCACGATTGCGAGTGGGGACCGAGTTGCTGCTGTTGCGCTGAGGAGCAATCATCTTCCAATGGTGGAACGAGCGAATGTGGCTTCGGATCAGTGTCACAAGAAGGGTTGTATCCATGAGTGGCACAGGAAGTTGGGACATCGTGATGCTCAAGCTATCCTGGATCTCGAGTGGAAGGAATTGGCAACTGGTATTAAGGTAAATAGCTGCTCTATTAATACTACTTGTGAACCTTGCTTGCAAGGAAAGATGGCTAGGCTGCCATTCGAAGGCGATTTTGGACCTGGTACACAGTGATTTGTGTGGACCGATGAATACGGTCACGCCCGGTGGCCGGCGATATTTTTTTTACCTTGATCGATGACTACAGCCGTTATACCACTCTGTATTTCTTGTCCAAGAAGTCGGAGACGGTGGATGCTATCCGAGATTTCGTGCGCAGTATGAAAACGCAATTCGCTAGGCCGCCAAAGATAATCAGGTCTGATCAAGGAGGAGAGTACCGTAGCGCCGAGATGGAACGTTTTCTGAAGCAGGAAGGTGTACAGCAGCAATTCACGACAGCAGAACGGAGTCGCTGAGCGCAAGAACCGTTCGCTGGTAGAGATGGCGCGGTGTATGGTCATAGAATCTGGATTACACTATCGGTACTGGGCCGAGGCGGTCAGTACAGCCAACTGCTTGCAGAACATGTTGCCTACGAAGCCGGTACAGGAGACGCCCTTCGAGATTTGGTATGGTTCGAAGCCGGACATGAGCTTGCTGCAGGTGTTCGGCCCAGAGGCGTACGTTTTCATCCCGAAGGAGAAGCGAACGAAGTTGCAGCCGAAGGCAACAAAAATGACTTTCGTTGGATACTCCCATCAGCATAAAGCGTGGCGTTTTATTGACTTGAAGACTCACAAAATTGTTTTCAGTCGAGATGCTCGTTTCTTGAAGTCGAATGAGGATGTCCAGGATGTCATCGAGGACGAATTGCTTCAGTTACCCCCGTTGCCAGTAAGGCCGAATAGCAGTGAGGAACTGGAAGAGTCGGATGATTCCGATACTGAATCCGAAGTGTCGGGTGAAGAATCGGATGAAGACAGTGACGAAGTTTTTCGTGGCTTTGAAGAAGAAACGATGCGTGGCCTTGAAGATCGGAGTCTCTACGAAGATGCTAATGGTAGTGAAGTGTTCCGCCAGGATGATGAATCTATCTTTGTCCAGGAGGAGTCGGCTCGCTTCCAGGGGGAGCAATCGTAGAAACACCTCGTCTTTCTGGAAGGTTAACCAAAGCTGTTCCACCTGAGCGTTACTTGGC